CGCTTCGACTCGGACAAACATGAGCAAAGTGTCCAAAGACGTGAGTGAATGCTCGGCTGTCTGTACAGCTTCAAGTCTAGAAATTGCACGAATTTCCTTTTACTGTGATTAGAACTGCACGGGATCGGAAACAAGAAGCTTCCAGCTCACTTCATTTATCTCTAAGCGAGTGTTCGGTGTTGCTCTACAAAAAATTATCTACTGCTGAAGGAGGTTGGATCCTCTTCCATAAGTCGGTAAAAAAAAAAAAAAAGGAAGACAAGAATATATATATATATAGATGTTCTCTCTGTCTTACCTTGCATCTCTCAAATACTAGAAAAACATATCCTGCAAGCTATGGTCACGAATCTTAATGCCAATCATGTAATATCAGGTGCGAAATATTATTTTAAATCGGGGTAAACGCAGACAAGACCTCCTAGAGAATATTTCAGACGTTAAAAATTCTGCTTTTGAAGCGAACCAAGTGATATGAACTATATTTGCTGATGTTAGCAAAGCTTTTGATAGCTGTGAGTCATAGTCTATTATTAACAAAACTCCCTGTGGCTGTATTTCATGGGACGTTCTTAAATTACTTGCGAACTTTTAAGTTGATAGAACACAGTTAGTATCCACATGATAGTACTGTAGCAATATAACCTCTATAAAAACCAGAATGCCACAGGGATTAATATTAAGTCCACTTCTTTTCAACCTATATGTTAACGATATCACCGCGGCTGTATCTACTAGCATATTTCAGTATACTGACGACACGGTCAGTTTGTCCTGGCATTTCCGCTTTCCAAAAGCAGCTTCTCTTTTGCGGCGTGCCACAATAAGTTTGATGGTCTGATTCACTAATAATGTTATTAACGGAAACGCCTCTAAAACACAGCTCATTTGTTTCTATAACCCCCTGTTAATCTGGGCGTCCCATTGCTGGTGCACTGTTCATCTTGTTATCCATGCTTTTTCTGTTAAATACCTCTGTTAAATCTGTTAAATACTTTGGTGCACTTCTCGACAGTCACTTCTCTTGGAGTTCTCATTTGGCACACGTTTGTTCAAGACTTCGGGCAGTCTTTCGAACACTATACACAATTAGATACTATGCGCCACTACGAGTTTCCAAAAAAATGGTACTGCAAGTGTTAGGTTATAGTGTTCCTTGACATGGTGTTACGTCATTCGGTCACTGTGCACTTATATTAACAGTGATCAGCTGTGTTTACAACTGCCCCCAGGCACAGACCTTTTTAAATCATTACGATGCTCTAATTTTGAGGCCCTCCTTACTGAAACAGCTGTCCTGAGACATTTTTCGTGCAGCAAATATAAGATTCCATATGTCTCAACATACTTCCTTTGACCTAAAAAACGTTTTCGGAGAATTCGATGCCCCATCAGATATGGTCAGCAGACTTGGAGCTACTTCATACTATCTTGCTTTATTAAACTGCGCGTGAGTGCTTTTCATGCTAAATCAAAATAAAACTGAAGCAACTTCCTTGTCGTATTAATCTGTAACTTCTTGCTTATACTTGTTTTTTTCCTCGGGTAAATGCATTGTCTGTATCAGAACCTGAAGGTCACCCTGTTGCATCAGGCTATGCGTCGCCCTTGATGTACCAAAAAATTATAATTCACGTTTTTCTTATTTTTTTTCTCCTCCCTTCTTATTCTGCACACATTAGAATGATGTTATAATGCTTTGTCATATTATTTTTGTTTTCTTGTTTTTTTTTCTTGTTAGCGTTACCAAAAATCTGATAAGGTCTGAATGTTAGGCTAGGTGACGCTACTTGTCTTTGTATCAGTTTTCTATCATCTTGTACTGCTGTACAAGCATACATAGACGAAAAAAAAAAGTGTCTGCATCTATGTGGTCCTATATATATATAGTCTTGTAGTCTGCTGTCTGTCGGCTCTGCCCTTCAAGCCCGACAAGGCATTCCCAGGCCAGTTTTGTATTTCTGTGATGCTTTTTTAAAATGCTAAAAAAGGATTACTGTTATTATTATTATTTTACATCATTGCATCAACGGCCATAGTGTGTGTCCGCAACGAAGCACCGAGTGATTGACGAGCACGTAAGAGACATGCTCCAATGTGGTGTGGTACAACCTTCACATAGTCCCTGGGCCTCGCCTGTAGTGTTGGTAAAAAAAATTACATCATCTCCCACTAAAGGAAAATGTGTGGATGCAAAGCAGCGGGGAGATGGTTCGCTTGACCAGGAGATGATGTAATTCATTGAGAAGATGAATAGAAATGTGTAAGAAACGAGAGAGAGCGACATGTTGTACGTGGTGTTACTACACCTGTAAGAAGCCTTATGAACAAGTCTTCATTTCATGTGCATGTCGATGGCCGGGTCATCATGGACTTTTCTGGAGAAGCATCACATGAGTTCCCACACATTCATGACTTTGCTCTTGATTTTGTATTGCCTGCTGCTGAGCGTGACGCATTGAATGCTCATGAACAGCAGACACGATGCCATGAGCCGTTCATTGACAGAATTAAGCTCAGAGACATGCCCGCGTTTTGCTGTGTAGGGATAACCGTTCATAAAGCTCAACACAGGCATCTTGCCCCTTAGTGCCTCCGTGCAAGTTGCGGTCGCCATCGTTGTTACTTGCCGGTTCGAACTCTTGTCACAGCATGCTGAGAACCACGTTCTGGTGTTGTTCGATCTGGATGCTGCGGACTTTGGTTGGTTGCTATCGAACCGAAGTTGGTCGCACAGGCTGCCGCTGCGGCCGATAATCTGGTCGAATAAATATTGCTTGAACCGTTAGGGCCATCAGTCTTGAATTGCAGCAATTGCTTCAAGTGTTTCGTTGTCTTCACTGCCGACCCGCGTTGCTACGCCACCTCGAGATCCTAGAGGAGAGAGACGGGAGAACGTAGGATGGAGGGGGCGGGGACGCGCATGCGCAGCGGGGTTGATGATGCTACGGGTAGAGTGGACAAAGCCCCTGCCTCAAGCTGCTTCATGCCTAAAAGAAAGATGGCACCATTCACTTTGGTGTTGACTACTGTAGACGCAACAATACAACCTGTAGGTATGGTTATTCGCTTCCCCGTATTGACCACGAGACTGTCTTCAAGGCGCCAAACCGTTCTCGTTCCTCGATATACCACCTAGCCACTAGCAGTATTCAGTGCCTTTAACAGGAAACCCCAAGCCTGCCTTCATCGTTCCTGATGGTCTATACGAGTTTACCATCGTGTCCTTCAGTCAATGCAGTGCACCTGCAACATTAAAAAGAATGATGAATAGCACCCTGCGAAGGCTCAAGTGGCAGATATGCCTTTGCTATGCAGACAATGTTGTCATCTAAATAGACTTTTCTTTACACCTGCTTCCACTCGAACGCATTCTCACATGCATCATCAACGCCTGCCTCCAGCTACACTAGAAGAAACGTGGCTTTGCTGCTCGGCAGCTGATAAGCGTCGGCTATAAGTTGTGTGTAAAGATCCGACCATGATCCTTTTAAACTGCAAGCTGTCACTGATTTTCCATGACTAAAGACCTTAAAAAAACTCCACTGCTTCTATGGTTATGTTCATACTTTCACCGTTTCATCAGCAACTTCGGCACCATGATAGCTCCTTTGATACAGCTTCTTCGTGCTGACCCCAACCTTCGACTTGGTCACCAGATTACAACGCTGTGTCGTTTTCTCATCTATTCTCCGATTCAGCAACATTTCGACCCAAACGCACCGACAGAAATACATGCAGACAGCAGCGGTGTCGGCCTTAGTGCTGTTTTTGCACAACCAAGGAGCGGCTTCGATGAGTACGTCGTCGCTTTCACCAGTCGCGCACTCACGAAGGCTGAAACAAACAAATTATTAATTCTGTCACAGAAAAAGAATGCTAGGTGACAATTTGGCCAATAACTAAACTTCGACCACATCTGGCCGCCTGCTTTGACATGATAACTGTCCATCACTCCCTGCAATGGATTTCTTCCTTGAGAGAGCCTTCGGTTCGTTTAGCTTGATGGGCACTTCCGCTAAAAGAGTATAACATTTACGTGCTGTACCATTTCGGCAGACGACACTCTGGTGCAGACCCGTTGTCTTGCTCCCCACTAGATGCTAAGACTAATACCTTGTTAGCATAGTCCTCCTTCCTTGCTACGTACGAATATGATTTTGGAGCAAAACAAGGATCTATGGATTGTTTACATGTTCAACTACTTGCAAAAGCCATCGACACCACCTGCCAACCCAGCATCACATCGCCAAGCACACCACTCAAAATGAACATCCATACTGCTGTAATTACTTTACTGACAGCCTAAATAGTTTTTTTTTTTTTTTTTCAGTTACTCAGCATGTCCACACGGATATCTGTGCAGCGTTTCGCGATGATCCACAATGCGCGCATAAAGGTGTACCTAAGAAATTTGCCCACCTAAACCTTTGCTATTGTTGGCATAGGATGTATCTCTTATTCTGTCATTGTTTACGCTCCTACCCCGCCGGCCAACATCGCAAGGGTCTTCCTCGTCGTTCAGCAGCCCGAATGTCACTGTTGCCGTACACAACAAAAGTATGTTATTGTATAAAAATCTATCCTTATAACCCATTAGCTTTAAGGTCATTTAGAATTTTAGCTTTAGAATTCGGCTTGTGTTCTCACTATTTGCTTATTCTCTTAGTGATGCTTGCACTCTTGAATGCATAATATTGTATATACCCCTCATGCAATACACCTTGTCATTCTGTAGCCTGTCTGGCATTTTTAGTACATGAATAAGTGACCATACAAACAAAAACAACTATAGAGAGTAACGTACATGGCTTACAATGAACAAAGTGTGCTGGTGCTCGTTGGCCATCACATGGCCAATAAACCACATATATCACAATCATACAATAAACAAGAAAGGCTCACGAAAGTTGTCGGGCCGGCGAGTGCAATATTAAGCGTGCGCAGGGCAGTGCTTTCCTTTCTGTTAAAGCCACAGAGATTGTGTAGAAACTACGCACCTTCTTGCAGGCCACCCCAGAGTAACGATTCGTTGAGGTGCCGAAGACAAGGTCATTCAGTATGGAGGCATATGGTGTCACGCCAATACCGCCACCCACCATCACGGCGATCTCAAACTTGTACCAATCTTGGTTGCCACCTCCGAAGGGCCCCTCAAGCCGCACCTGCATAAACAGTTTAGCAAAGCATGTTGTGTTCTGTTACCTGCGCTGTGCAAGTTTGCTGCACGCATTCCGGCAAGGAAACCTGAAGAACTACGCGAAAACAAATCTAAACTTCAAGCAAATCTAAATAATTCAGTTCAGTCCAGGTTTGAAGACAGGGTGAAAACCTGTAAGAATTGTAGTGCAAAGTCAACGATTGTGCATGAGTACTCCCTATTGCAATTGGTTCCAGTAGGAATAGAAACGTTTGAAGAAAGCTGACATTTTTGAAGAAAAAGGAAAACAAAGAAATTGATGTATGTTTGCGACAGAAAATTGCCATACACTGTATTCAATGCTTCATTCGATGAGACATAGTGCCCTTGGCATCGGCTAACAACCAAATCCATTAAAATGAATCTAAATTTCTTGCAAACAATTATTGAAACAAAACACTTTGCTATAACTAACATTGTGAACCCCTGAAAGCTTTCGACACGGTTTAGGTCTCCGCCCAGGGGCCAGGGCCGAACAGCAATCGGGAAAGCAATAGTGTGTGTATGCCCATGTGTGTGAGTGCGTGTGCATGCGTGTGTGTGTGCATAGCTGTCATGTTCAACTCTTCAAGGTGCAGCTTAAGGAACCCTAAAACTTTTCCCTAATTACAACCAACTGGCCCATAAACTCTGGCTCTTTCTTTCATCCACTGAAATCTAGTGAAATAAAAAAAATGAAACACTTCATACACATGGTTAACTAGCGAAGCTGAATTGTGCGGCCAAAGTTGATTGCAGGCATTGCAGCAGAAGCCGAAGTGCCACTTGGAAAACTCCCAAATTTCCACCTAAAGCGGACGTTCTGCCCGGCAAGCACACCTTTGTCATTTCCCTGTTGACGCTGCTCGTAATGCCGACGGTGCTTCCAACCTCAGATCTTTGTCACCTGAGCACATTTTCAAACAACCTACAATACACGTAGCTCCCAACCACTCTCTCTGTTGCCCCTCTGACGCACTGTTTCACCACTTCAGTCTGTCTCTCAATTTTCTGCCCAGGGATCAGAAAATTAAACAGTGCAGCTTTTGAAAGGTAAACTGAACCGCCACGAGGTGATACAAATCCTCTTGAATGACCGTCAAACATGTTATTGCTGACTGTGTAAGGTACGTGTGTGTTGGCTTTAATAGACACGGGAGGAACTATTTCAGTTATGTGTGCAGACTTGTGTTCTCGTTTGCAAAAAGCAAGGACGCACTACCTTGGATCATCTTTGATAGGGGCCAATAGAGCAATAATTTGACCATTGGGCGAATGTACAGCACGTGTCTTCATTGAGGATATTCGTCATCAGATCACTTTCATCATTTAATTTCATGTGCTCATGAACTAATTTTAGGTTGGGACTTTCTCTCACGAGCATCTGCTTTAATTTCTTGTGAACGTGTAGTACAGATGACTGAGACCAATCACTGCAGCAAACCCATAGAAGAGAAACGACTGCCTTTTTTCACAGCTTTCGATTCCATACTGCCACGGGGTCAAGAGCAATTCATTGCCATCACTTCTACAAACATTGTCACTGATGACGTACTTATCGCTTCTTCCAGCCACTGTCTAGCTCAAGGTGTTGTACTTTCCTCCAGCCTGGTGCGGTTCAAAGACAGTACTGCGGTAATCCTTGGCCTGAACCCTACCATGGAGACTGCTCTGCTACCCCAAGGTTCTGCAGTGCCGTGTTATGTGGATACTCAACCAGTATCTTAGGTCACTCTTGATGCCTTGCCAGCTGAGACACAACAAGACAAGCCTGCTACTACCTCCTCCTTTGCTCCCGAGATAAATCGTGGTCTTCCTGCTGCTCAACATGGGGCATTGCTAAATTTGCTAACAATTAAAACAGCAGGCCTCCTTCGACCCCAATGCTTCAGCACCCAGGCGGACCACAGTTGCGTTTCATCTTGTCGACACTGAAGATCTCACTCTTGTACGCCGTCGTCCGTACCGAGTCTCCTTGGCCGAGCGCAAAACAGTTGAGGAGAATGTGACCGGCATGCTAAAAAGAAACATCATACGACACTCTGCCAGCTCTTGGTCATCACCCATTGTGTTGGTGCAAAAGAAAGATGGATCAGTACGTTTTTGTGTTGATTACCACACACTCAGCATGATTACCTAAAAGTATGTTCAGTCGAACCTCGTTATAATAAAGTTGAAGGGGGAGTCGTAATTACTTCGTTATAACCATTAGTTCGATATAGCCAATATCCATTTCTACCGACAATTAGCCAACAAGAGAAAACGTACTCGCCAACAAATATCACAGCTGCCCTCTGTGCATAGAAAAATGGCCAGCGGACGGCAAAAAACTAGCAAAATAATAAAGAACAATGCACTTTATTTCTGCTAAATTGAGCACACCAGCTGACAGATTACTTCGAAGAAAAATAGTCCTCAATAGAATTTCGCCAACTCTTCCTCACGCAGATGACTGCTTTTTCAGCTCCAGCAGCTATTTCGAGTCTGTCCTCGCCGTCATCGTAAGCACCAAAGAAGCGGCACAGCAGGTCTGTCGCATCCAGTGCTTGCGCGGGCGTCGGGTTTGCCAACGCTTGCAAACATTAGGCTCTGGGGTGTCAACACATTTATCGCTGTCATCATGCATGCCAGTCACCGCGGGCACAATTTCTGCATCTGACAACTCTTCAGTTGTCACCGTGTCAGCATCGGCACAGTCAAACATGCAGGAAGTGTTGCAGTCAAGCACAACGCTGGCGTTAAGGAGAGCGTCCCACGTCTGGGCCTGGTCGCCTACGGCACCCACACATTGTCGAAATCTTCGGCTACTTTTTTTTTTCTTATACAAGAATCGCGGGCTTTTAACATTGCCGTCTTCTGCTCGATTGTTATACTTTTTGCGCTTCACATATGTTTGCAGCTGCCCACAGAGAAAGAAGTAGTTGAGGAGGAGAAACTCCCAGGCCACGCCAATGGGCGAGGCCGATGCGATAGCGTCACGAAGTGATGTGTTTTACGCCAACCTTCGGCAGATGACGCCTTCGGCCTGTTGCCATCTTTTACAGGCGCTTCTAAGGAAGCGACGTATGAAAATCGTGATAGCGCATCGTACGCTGCAAAAGTTTTCAGATTTTTGCGTGTAATGTGAATGACTAAATGTGACAGATATTTTAGTGGCAGTTACTAATTTATACTACAATAATTACAGGCTGCAAAGCACTTGAAACGAGCTGCTAGTAATGACCCAGAAGCAGATGTCATCTACGGCGCGCATGCGGCTCTCCCTCCTCATTCTTATGTTGTGGGCGCGCATGCACAGGTGGCCATGGGAGGGAAAGTTCCCCACAAGCTGTCATGAATCCCTTCCCAATACGCAGGCTTTTGGTCTATTTAGCGCTTTCAGTGGCTTCAGTGTGTTACGCCGGCAGGGCTGACTGAGTGTGCATGCTTTTCACACAACTATAAAAGAGAGCGCTTTGCAGGATTCGAGCAATGCTACTTCAGGATGGGGCGAAAATGTTTTGTGCCCCACTGCAACAGTCGTTATGCATTCTGCAAATTGAACGTAATGGGAAAGTAATTATATTCAAAGTTCCTAGTGACCCGGTGGTGTTGGAAGTGTGGGCTCGCGCCATACCTAGGAAATATTGGGAGCTGACGCCTCATGACTTCGTTTCTGAGAAGCACTTCTCGGACAGCGACTGTGCTAGGTTACATGAAATATAGACATGTTACATGACACTGCATGATATTCAAATAGTTCTTTCTTGAAGTAGCTTTCAGCAGTGCTGTAGCTCTGTAGTGGAACATGCAGCTGCATGTCATAAAGAACGCTTGGGTACGTTCGTACCTAGAACGTGCCTAGAACCGATGACATTTACATCTTTATCACTTTCGTAGCAATGGAAAACGCTGATTTTTCCTTCGCAACCAACAATGCCAACATCGGCCTACCCGTGAATCAAGCTCTTTAACACGCGTTAAAATTTGGAGCCGGCGAGGACGCACTGAAACATCCAGTTCGATGTGAAGCGCAAACGGCGAATCGGAGTGAAGTGGCTTTGCAGGAGAGTGTGATGAGAGCGGCACGCGTGTTTTGTTTTCTTTTTTTTCCTTCCTTAGAAGAGTGCCGCGACAGAGAACGCATAAGTAGTTGTGCCCGATTTCATGCCTTTTTCAGGGCGCCCAAGCAGGTGCAGTTTCGCCTCCTTAAAAATTCTTTCTCCGTGCCACTGCCATTGGCCATCTCGTGTCTAGCGGCAGAAACTGATAGAGATGGTGTTGCTCTTTCACAGCGAACGACAAAGAAGGAAGCCACGATTTCCGCTGCCCCGGCGGCCTTCGAGGGACCAGCGCCGAGCTGAAGGGGAGAAGGAGGTCAGATGCGCGGGCAGGTTACCGAGTTCTACAGGAGAAGGGAGGCCGGCGGTCACGCACGCTCGTGCGAGTTGCTGCGCGGGCGAGTCCGTTAGTTCCAGAGGAGAAAGGAACCGGCCGTGATGAAACGTAAACCATTGCGTGCTATAAGGTATTGACAATTGACGTACACCAAAATGATCAGTAAATGCTCATTGTGGATGAGAAATGGTTCGTTATATCTATCGTCAGGAAATTTTTGCTGCGTTAAAACAAGGTTTTTAAATACATGGGCATCTAAGAGAATTTCAAGGGAAATTACAATTGAATCGTTATATCTATTAGTTCTTTATATCCCACTTCGGTATAACGAGGTTTTACTGTATATCTGGTGCCCCATATAGATGATGCACTTGAATTTTTGCAAGGCGCCCAATACTTCTCCGCCCATGACCTTGGGTTCAATATTGGCAAATTCCAGTAGACGAAATGGAAAAAGAAAAGACCACCTTTTCTATGCCGGGCGGTCATTACGAGTTTAATGTTATGCCATTAGTCCTATGTATTGCCCCCCCCCCCCCCACACACACACATTTGAACCCAGTGAATTACTGATATCCTGTCAACATAAAAATAAGTTCCATACATTTA